GTTAAAATGTATTATTAACTTTTTATACGTTATACATACAGTTATTATTTGCTCAGCTCTCTTACCCACCTGACCACCACGTATCCAGGGTCTCATTAAATTCCTTATTTTCTGTGTATTGGCTTAAAATGGCTTTGAAAACGTATCAGCTACCTGATCTGAGAAGATTTGATGGGAGAAAGTCAACTGGCAGGTTTCTCTGCTGAGTCAAAACATTTATTATGTGGGTTAAAAAGAATGCTGGCCTGCAGATGTTGTTTAGCTGAAGAAAGTAAAAGTGAAAGTGTGTCTAATCTCACATAACCTAAGGCTGTTTTTTTATATTTATTTATTTTTCTAATGAACAAAAATGTGTTTAAAGTTATTTAAAAAAACAAAGTTGTAATTGAAGTCCGAACGTGAGTCTTATCTATTACATTGATTCATTTGTTGAATTAGGTTTCTTGTTTTATACTTAAATGATTCATGGTCATGTTAACTGGCTTAGCACATACCCCACCCCCACATCTGATAATGGTCAGGTATATGTATTGGAATAAAAACAAAACAGCTAATATCCAAAGAAAAAGATTTTTTTTAAAATTTAGGGGTGGCTCAAGACTTTTGCACAGTAGTTTACAAATATCAAAAACACAGGTATATAAGAGATCAACAGTGAAATACAGAAACAGTTTAAACTGTTAAAGGTTATGAATATATGTGTCTTTATAATTCCTGAGGTGTACCACAGGGTGCTAACTCGGTCCTCTTTTAATGATCATTGATGTAAGTAATGCTCGTAACCATAGAGGTAAAAATATTTATACTTCCACAGTTTTTAAAAATGGTATTTTTACAAAAATGGGCAGCATTTAAGACCCTAAAGCATTTTCTCAGGCTGGAACTCGAGGTAAAAATATTTACTATTTATAGGAGCGCGTTAAAGCTTCTTGAGCAGCTCCAGTTGGAACTTTTTCTCAGTGTCTTTCTTGGAAAATGGAAATATTTTGATATCTAGGAGCAAGAGATCCAGCGTCTGTCTGCAGAGATCAAAAATCTTGAAAACTCCCAGAACCTCAGTCCATCTCCACGCCTGGAAGAGCTGCGGGAGGAAAACACCCGACTCAAGTACCGCCTCAACATCCTGAAGAAGGTGAGTGACGCTCTGCTGAACGATGTCCTGAGGCGTTTTAATCTTAACCTGAGAAAAGCCGATTGATGGAAAACCATTAAACCTTTCTGTGCTGTCCTCAGAGTCTGCAGGAAGACTCACTGAGTCAACGCGGCAAAGCCATGTTAAACATCAACCAGCGACTTCAGGAGGTCTTCGGCGAGGCCATCCGGGCCTCCTGCCCCGAGCTTGACAACCCGCCACTTTCCATTGCGCCCAGCCAGCAGGGCAAGTTTGGGGACTACCAGTGCAACAGCGCCATGAGCATGTCCCAGGTTAGACCGCCACGCCCAAAAACTGACGAGTTTATGGTGGCTTATTATGATCTATGGTGGCTTGTTATGAATTATGGTTGTTAAAGTGGCTTGTTATGAATTATTGTGGCTTATTTTCATTTCTGGTTGCTTATTGTGATTTATAATAGCTTACTATGATTTTTACAGTTTTAAAAGCTGCAGCTGCATTGAGTCAAATTAGAGGATTGTATTGGAGCAGTGCAGTGTGTCCTGGTCTCAGCAGGTCAGATTACAAAGCTTTGCTTCAGACTGTCTCTGGCTGTCGGGTTGCAGATGCTGAAGGCAAAGGGGATAAAGATGAACCCGAGGGAGATCGCAGAGAAGATTATCACAAATCTTCCAGACAACGAACTCGTCCAGAAAACGGAGGTCGCAGGGCCAGGTAGAGACTCCGCCTTTAATGACGTCTGTGTTTGGAGACAACATAGACATCACGGCATTCACACAATTATAGTAACAGGAACGCTATTAAGTTCCTGTTTCTCTTTAAACTTTATTCTTCTTCTACCTTATTATTCTAGTTGCTCCGTTTCTTTGCTGGTTAACTACTCCCGCAGTTTTCACCATTCAAATTTTAAACTGTTCAGCTATTTTTGCTAATGCCAGCTATATCATTTGGTGCTCAGGAACTTTATACTTTTTTAAATATTAAGCTTTTTATGCAATTTTTTTGGACCATTGAGATGAATGGGAACACGTTACAAGTGTGATCGCTGATATAGCTCGCCGGGGTGAGCGGTGTTTTAGCTCAGTGAGATGAGCAGTAGGGCTGGGTTCCACTCTCGCCCATTGCAGCATGTTTTCAGCAGACAGTTAAACTTTACTTCTTTTCAGCAGAATGTTCAGCTTCTTTAAACAGCATGTTTTCAGCAGAATGTTCAGCTTCTTTAAACAGCATGTTTTCAGCAGAATGTTCAGCTTCTTTAAACAGCATGTTTTCAGCAGACAGTTCTGCCTCTTCAGCTGTTTTCGGAAGCCGATTTCCACTACACGGCATTCACACTGCATTTTTGCAGGAAATGCAACTTTTTCTAGTTTAGTTTAATTTAATTTAATTTAATTTAATTTAATTTAATTTAGAACCTTGTCAAATGTGTACATATTTAAAGAGAAATAATTCTTTGTTTTGTATAAATATTAAAAGATTTCAAACAAGAGTAAATAAATGACTAAAAAGTGAATCTAAACAAAGTTGTCTCTTTCAGGTTTCATCAACATCTACCTGCAGAAGACATTTGTGTCCAAACAGCTGAGCAACTTGTTGATTAACGGAGTGCAACCCCCACCACTGCCATCCAAGAAGAAGGTCTGTGCACATGCTGAAGTTATTTTCCCGCCATGTTTTTCCTTTTTAGTTAACCTTTGAAGTCTTTGATCCCTTTTTTAACATTTGATTTAATTATTTGTATCTAATTATCTGGTATTCAACAGTTTCACGCGCATTTTTTCTACTCTTGGCTCTGTGTGATGTCAAAGAGAGTGCCACAGAGGCCCCGCCCACCAGTTTTATTGTTTCGGTCCTTGCCTTTCACAATAAAAGCCTTCCACAAACACACACAAACAATAACAGTTTATAGAGTTACATCAAAGCAAATTACAGCAGATTTTAGGTTCACATTTTAAATATTTTTTACAAGTTGTGAAAAGGAAAATTAAATTTTTTCTTAATAAATAAAAACTTTCATAAAACTTGTAGAAATGAGCTTCCTGTGAAGGCAATCTGGACGCAGAGATGAGGTGAGGAGCTCAGTTTAATATAGCAGGAACCAGAAAATGGACAGATTAGATTATTTTATTAATTTATTTATTTCAGTTACAAAAATAAAGAACCACATTTACTCATTTTATTATTGCTGTAAAAGTCACGTTCACATTTATTTATCTGTGTGGAGTTGAAATTATTTATATAAAGTGTGACATAAAAAAAAGAGTGTACGCTAACAAAAGCAGAGAAGAGAAAGAGGAGGTGGAGGATGTGAATGAGGGAGAATCCAAAATAAGCTTTTCCTATAGAGACAGAAATTAATATTAATGCAACACTGGAAAGAAGAAGATTGCCTTTAAACTGAAGCTATGACAGGAAGTAAAAACGTGTGTGGTTTAAGGCGGATGTCAAAAGGTTTGATTAAACACACCAAAATAGGCTTATTATGAACCATGACTCATGCAAAGCTGCTCTGATAGAGTCCAGGAATAAAAACGTGGAGCTGGTCTTCTTGAGGTAACCTGTGACGGGTTTACCCGTCTCAGCGTCTGCATTTATCAGTTCCTGTGTGTTTGTGTTGCATTCAGGTGGTG